GGTTGGTGGTATTTCCACTACGTGGACAGACCACATTCTGTCTCTCTATCCATCCATCCACTGGTGGCCACTGGAGCTCTTCCCACCTTTCGGCTCCTTTGAGGAGTGCTGCTGTGAACAGACATAGACATGTACTTACTTGAGTCCCCGGTTTCGGTTCTTTGGGGCACATACCTAGGAGTGGGTTTGAGGAATCACTTGAAAATCTGGCTTAATCCCATCCATAACTTCCAACCTCGCCCGTGTCAGGAGTCGGGGATTAGCAGACGGTTGTTGGAGAGAAAGTTGAGTGAGTTCAGAGCCCCACCCCCACAGAGGGGGCCGGGGGGGGGGGGGTCTGCCTCTCCACTAGCTGAGGGAAAGGGATTTTAGGGGCCCTCAAGCAGCTTGTTGTGTGTTCTCTGAAGATCAGGGAAATGGGGAAGTGGTCAGCTTCCTAACAACGTAGGAAAGAGAGCTGGCTGTGGGCATTAGAGCTCCTCCCTAGAATCCGTGGGCATGAAGCGTGGTGCAGCTGTGCTGTGGAGCAGAGGTGGGTCGCTCACTCAAGGGGTGCGAGGTTTCCTTAGATCCTGCGCGTAGGGCTGCCCAGAGAGGGGCTGAGCAACAGCAGAGAGAAGCTGGAGCCTCACCCTGTGCGCAGAAGAGCAGCCATTTGGAGCGGAGTGCATCCTCCCTCCCCTGTCAAAGGAAGATCCCAGCGAGGAGAAGGTGGGTCTCCAAAACCAAGAAAGGGAAAGTGTTGGCTCTAGCTCCTTCCCTGCCCATCTCCAGGTGGTGTTAGTCAAGTAAGGTCTTACGTCACCTCCCTCCCTCCCTCCCAGCCACCACCTGCTCCCAGCCCTGGAGAAGATAGAAACTTCTCCAAGGAACTCAGGATGAGAACGAGAAGCTCCAGGTAGGTGAGCCCTAGCCAAGCCCTAGCCGAGCTTCCCACCTTCCCACTGTGGACAGAGCTACAGAGGAAGAAGTTTTCCCTTTGAATGAAAGCAGAAATCTTTTCTTTTTTAAATGACACTGGACAGAATGTAATAAGTTCTCAACCGAAAAGGTGTTTTGTGACTTCGTGGCCAGAGTTCTTCCTATTTCTGTGAGTGATCAGAAATGCTACAAGCCCAGCTGTGAATTTCATCCATGACCATGGATTTGTTTGTTTGTTTTTGTGTGGTTTTTTTTTGTTTATTTTTATTTATTTGACAGAGAGAGAGATCACAAGTAGGCAGAGAGGCAGGCAGAGAGAGAGGAGGAAGCAGACTCCCTGCTGTGCAGAGAGCCCGATGCGGGGCTCGATCCCAGGACCCTGAGATCATGATCTGGGCTGAAGGCAGAGGCTTAAACCCCTGAGCCACCCAGGCGCCCCTGGATTTTGTTTCTAATAAAACTAAATAATATATTAAAACGAGAGCAAACAGTACAGACCGCAGCGGTTAGGTAAGATTTGGTGTTGGCATTGTAATTCTCCGGGTTTCTGGTCATCATTACCATAGTATAAATTCACTGGAGGGGCGCCTGGGTGGCTCAGTGGGTTAAAGCCTCTGCCTTCGGCTCGGGTCATGGTCCCAGGGTCCTGGGATCGAGCACCGCATTGGGCTCTCTGCTTAGCGCAGAGCCTGCTTCCCTTCCTCTCTCTCTGCCTGCCTCTCTGCCTACTTGTGATCTCTGTCTGTCACATAAATAAATAAAATCTTAAAAAATAAATAAATAAATAAATTCACTGGAGAAGGGTGTGGTGTTAAGAATCAGGAGAGCCAAAATTTCTCAGGTTCACTGAGTTGAGTGTTGCTTAGAAAGTGAATTTCTGACTTAGTCTTCCCCTCTTTCTCTGACCCATTTCTGTGTGCACAACCGTTTATGATTCAGATGTATGGCTATAGCCCACAAGGTGTGCCTGTGCAATGTGTTGGAGCTTTACTTACTCTCTTGAAGAACAAAGCTTGTGACCTTCCTACATCCCTGACCCTTGTCGCAGCACAGAGCCTGGTATGCGGAAACTGCTTGGTACCTGGAAACAGTGTGTTCTCTGTCCGTCCGCAGACTCCTCACGCAGTAACCCGCTACGTAACCCACTATGGTGGCCTCTCCCGAGCTTCACTGGCTGGCTTGACTCTGCAAGGAGCTGATTAGAAAAAAGGGGAGGGAGCTCTGTTCCCTTCCTAGGTGGCTTCCAGGGGACACTTTTCTTCCCTGCCCCTCTTTAGCCCAGAGTAGGAAAAGGGGACCAAAAGTCGGTAAGCAAACTTGTCACGGTGGCACAGTCTCTCCCAAACCACTAAGCAGTTCTCCAGCGTCTCTATACAAATGCTTGGAACACTGACCCGGGATGTATTTTTTTGCTTAAATCTAGAAGAAGAAATCTAGCAAATGGGATGCATGCAGGGGACAGTCTGTGACATGACTGTCCTGACTGAGATGGCATCCGAATCACATGGAGGACTTGCTAGGACACACTGTGCGGCCTCACCCCCAGAGTTTCTGGGTCAGCAGGTCCAGGTGGGGCTGGATGATCCCCATTTCTGACCTGTGCCCAGAGAAGCTGGTGCTGCTGGCCTGCAGGCCATGGTGCTCAGTGCTCAGTGGGGGCACCAGCGGTGACCCCAATCGCTCCAAAGTTAATCACTCTGAAATTGTTAAAGTGTTTTAAAACACTCTGAAAATAACTCTTTGCCCACACTCCTCCTCCCTAGAGAAATACCACAGAGAGTGCTCTCGGGAGCATTTTGCCCAAACTGCCCCAGACCCTTGCCTGGAAGTGTTTTTTCATTGTGATCATTGAGTTTGCTCTCGTCTGTGGATGGCTTCTAGCTCATCTCAAGAAGAATCCTGAAATTACAGAACCCTGCAGCCAGCAGCGACCAATATGTTTCTGGTTCCATGTACAGAGAACACACAGAAGGGCTCTCGAGGCAGTCCAGAGTCCCCACGTAACTCTCCCCTAGCATAGAACACAGTCAGGCCTGTGTATTGGTACGAGGATCAGTGGTCCTGCTCAACTTTCTTTTTTAGAGAGCCCCAGATGCAAGGGTAAATGTTCTCTCCCACAAAACTGGTGTGATACAATAAGCATGGGCTATAGAACAGGCCCCTCCCTGCTGCCCCTCCTTAGGAAGTCAAGTCCTTAGAGACTTTTCAATTAAGTGAATTATGCATTTTCAGGATTCACTCTGGACCCTGTCTTCTCTCCACAATGGGTAGAGGTCTACTGGCCTTGACTCGTCCTTTTCAGTATCTCCACACGCTCGCGACACTTACACTCATATCCAGCCCAGAACTTTGGTCTCAGATGTCCACTGGCCCATTTGGTATCTGCGTCTGTGTTTCTCACGAACATCTCAAACTTAGGATCCCTCAAACTGAACCTCTACTCCTCCTTCAGTAAATCCTAATGACTCTAGCTCCAAAATACATATGCAATGTACCCAAATAACAGCATCTTTCCCACTGAACTTGCCTTGGCCATTTTTCCCCTGGTGTTGCCTCTTAATGTGACCCTCAACTCATTCTCTCTGAATGATCAGAGTAATCTGGTTAAACTACAAATTAAATCATTGTAGTCTCATATGTGACTCTCTTCATGGCTACTCCTTGTATTCAGAATGAAATCTATCTGACCCCCATCTGCTGTGCTAGCCATTAGTCCTGCTCACCCGTGCCTTCCACTTTTTCCCTCCTTCCAGGCACATGGGATGATTTCATATCCCTGAAGTGAAGATAGGACCATGAGACTTGCTTTGGGCAATGAAATGTAAGTAGAAGTGATTTGAAAGCTGGAACATGACAATTAGTGAGGGCACTTTCTCCTGCTACAGTGATTAGGAAAACCAGTGTTGATACTGTAGGGATTTGGGAAGTTCGCCTAAATACACGTGGACTTTTTGTGAGTCACAACAATCTCATATTGTGAGATTGGAGGGTTTGTTTCTGCAGCAAAACACAGTCTATCCTGACTAACACATTGTAGAAAGAGGGGTTGCATGCGGCAGTCCTCTTCAAAACAAAGCAAAGGACAAAGGTTTTTCAGAAAATGTCTTTGTTTTTCATTAGACTAAAAAAAAAAAGTAACAATGGCTCTATTGATTATTCCCAGAAATCCAACCCCCAAATTGGAGTGGATTTCTGGGTGATCCAAGAAGCAGGCGCACATGGATTTTTGCCAAGTAATGACACACCTAGTTAACAGTTCTGGGTGTAGATGGACAAGACTGGATCACTGTTGGGGCAAAAAGAGGAAAATACAAGTGAAACTTTACAGAGAGATTATCTGATATGAGGGAAAGGCACCTTCGGTGTGTTTAAGTGTATTACTGAAGTTAAACATTAACCAGGAGAGCCCTACTTTCTTCTCATAACCCAAGCAGTAACACCTGATTCCCCTTGTTTTAAGTTTAACATATCCCAGGAAGGATCTGAGGGCTTCAAATTCAGCTGAAAAGGAAGGAGTTTGTGGGGAATATGTATTTTCCAAGCAGGAGCATTTCCTTGTCTCCTGCTCAGGCTCCTCTTAGCGTATATCTTCAATGACTGGCCTGGCAGTGTTTAATAACTTAGTTAGGAGAGAGAAAGTAAGACAGAGAGAGAGAGAGAAAGGGAGGGAGGGCGAGAAAACAGGTAAGTGAGAGGGATGGATGGGTAAAAGGAAGGAAGGCAGGTACGTAGGAAGGCAAGAGGGAAGGAAGGAAGGAAGGAAATACACCTGTGATGACATTGGAATGTGCAGTCTCAGTGAGAGGGGAGAGATGGTCGACCTTCCTGAACATGCCTTAAACACACAAAACAGTAGAGTTTTTCTTTTAACCCACAGTGACCATACTTTGGGAGCCTCCGCTGAAATGGTATGGTCACTACCAAGGAATGTAGTGACTTCTCAGTGAGCTGGCCTCCAGACACAGTAACCAGAAAACTACAATTCTCAGAGCTCATCTTCTCCAGATCATGTGAGAAATCATCAGAACATATTGAAAACAAGGCTGCCCACACCCGTTGATTCCAGAGCCCCCGCTAAGGCATTCCTATGGCTAGGGTGCCAGTATTACATTCCAAAATTCCCATTTCTAGGGACAGAGAAGATGCCTATGGGGCCTCCCCAAGGAATCGGCATCTAGGGCTCCAGTCATGTCTTCATATACAAGCACAGTGGGGTCACCCTGATCAGATACACTCTTTCATCCTAGACTGTGTGAGATCTGGCCTAGGCAATCTCTTCTTTTCTGAAGGATAAGACCATGCCACCATGAAGTTCAAAATCCCTTCCACTGAGTTAGTCTGGTTCTTGCTCCTAGCTAGAGGCCGACTCATGGCCCTGCCTCCTGGGTTCTTGGATGAGGCCATCCATGGTTTCAATGTTGGGACATTTGGCTGAGTAGGAAGCTTTAGGCTGGGCCATACAAGCCCAGGTCCCTGGCGGTTTGAGAGATCCTGGGCATTTTCCTCTGGGGAAATGGATAGTGAGCTGGTTTTCCAGACATGTGTGGGTTCTTCTTGGAAAGACGGTAACGAATGTCCATATTCAAGCCAGATCCTACTGCCTTTGTCTGGACATTGCCCACCGGACATTCACACTGGGCTGTTGGTAGGTTGGTGGTCCCTTGCTGGGTCATCTGATTGTTTTCAAACAGGCCTGGGTCTCCTTCCTGAGGCAGCCTTTGTTTGGACCCCATGAGCTTGTTCTTGTGTTTTACTGGAAGACTAATTTCCTGGTGGAAGGTTTGAACGCAGCGGTACATCTCCAGATGTGTGTGCCATGGAGATTCAGGGCCCTGAAGGCAGCCTCCGTCGGCCTCCTCCAGCATCCCCTCGGCCCCCAGATCTGCCTCTTCTAGGGACACTGAGTGCCTTCTCTCTTTGTTAATCCAAACAGGACTGACCACGGACTCAGCAGGAACAGGCGTGTATCCTCCTGACAAAGCAAGGCACAAGCAGGGTCACCACTGGCAGGTACATGGCAGCTGTCATTCTGGGGGTCTCAGAGGTCTCAAGCCATAGGAATGTTACCCCAAATGTGTGTTTACACATAGACATGGGTCACACGTGATCCCACTTGTACCTGCTCACACCTGTACCCTCCCTCCCCTGTCCACACACTCACACCCACACAAACCCTCTCTAACACATACACACCCTCATGCACATGTACTCATTCGTTCAACAAGTATTTATTGAGCACTTATTACATGCCAAGCATCATTCGTTCTAGGTTCAGGGAATACGGCAGCAAATGAGACAAAATCCACATCTTCATGGATAGGCTCTAGTGGGCTAGGAAAACGCTAAGCAAATGAATGTTTTACAAGAAAATTGCGGGTGGGAACCGATGCTATGAAGAAAATCTGAAGCAGAACAGAGTTTAATAATCAACTCCAGTTCCTAACTGCAGCGAGGGAGTGACCCCAGGGCAGAGCTAGGGAACGAGCATTCAGACTGGAAGAATGGAACAGAGTCATAGGCACTGTCCAGTGGAAAAGATTACTCTACACCTACAGGGTTTTCTGTTCTGGGATTCCCATAAGGAGTATACGGCCCAAGGTGCAGGAGGGAGGAGCGGTATTTCAAAGCAGCTCCTTTTGGAGGACTGGAGCCTCGCCTTCTCCCACCCCTCCGACACTGATCTGGGAACACGGTTACAGCAGCTCTGGCTTCTCCGAACTGGCTGCAGGGATGACGGTCCAGACCGGTGTCTCTTTTCCTTGGGCACCTGTTTTTACCACCTTGTGTCACACAACAGTTTATTGTCAACCCTTGGTGGCAGAGAGGGTTGTGGCAGTGACTGAAAGGGGTTCCAAAGAGAGTTGGTCTTTTGCCTCTGGATCATGAGTGGGGCTCCCTTGAGCCTTGTGGCACTTGTCCCTGCGGGAGGCCCTGGACAGGAGGGGTGCACGCAGGAGGGGAGAGACGGTGCTGAGGTATGAAGGCAGAAGGAAGCCCCTAGAGCTCCGGGTCTGGGAGTCTGTGGAAAACAGGCCATCTCTGCAAACCACGGAGGGACTGAAAATGTGTTCCCACTTTAGGACTACCTGATTTTTCTTGACATGGACACCCCGACTAAAAGTCCAGAATGCTATGTACTTATTTGGGAAGAGGGGAAGACGGGATGTGATAGGAGAACCTTGGAACTAGTAGCCTCTCCATTATGTCCGGGCGGATGGGCAGGACTTGGTTGCAGAAAGGAGCCTCCTTCCCTGTCAGTCCCAGTCTGGGGGTCACAGAGGACAAGGAAAAAGACCAAGTAGGGGGGTACACCTGGACCCTGACCCCAAACAGATCCTGCTGAGTGGCTGACTTCACCTGGGAGTCAGAAGTCTTCCCTGACAAAGCAGAGTCTGGTCCGACCAGCCTTCTGGCATTAGCCTGGCCAAACTGATCGGTGAGGATAGCTGGGGGGTGGGGGGAAGCACACTGAGTTAAAGAGTGTGGGAGGAAGATCCAGAGGGTTGGGTTGGGGCAGGGGCATGTTGAGTTGGCCCGTCTTTGCAATGCGAGTCCGAATTGTGGGTCTGCTGAGCGCGGTACTCTCTTGCTTTGATGAGTGGTTTAATTTCATGTTTGCTGAATGACTGAATGAATAAACACGTTCGGGGATGGACTAGACCTTTAGGAACCTTTTGGTGTCCACCCTGCAGAGATGGGGCGTGTCTGGCTGTGCCAGTTCAGTTCACAGAGAACAGCCCTGGGAATGCGAGCTGGGCACCCTCCGCTCCGTGGGACCACTGTTATCTCCACAAGGCAGCACACTTCCTGTCCCACATGGTGATGTCCCTCTGGCCCCTGATTCCTTCCCAGCTGGCCTAGCATTGCGTGGACCGCTCAGCGAGTCCTGAAGAAACCCTCAGGCACAGCATTGACCTTCCCACCTCCCTCGACCCATGCATTCCTCTGTTAGAGAGAAGGGCTGGGATGGAGCCTCAGACTCCTAACTTCCTCCAGGAACAAAATCTGAGTTCCCAGAGGGAAGAGGCATTCTCTCCTTGAGGTTTCTGTATCTCATGCCTCCTTAGAAGTTGTTTGAGACTGTGATAAGCAAGCTCCATGAGTCTGGGTCCCTGAGCGCCACGTGTCCTCTGGCCCGCGGTGGGCTGTTGGGAGCACCATGTCTGCTCTCTCCAGGGCCAGTTTCTCTGCTTTGCAGGAGGCGAGACCCAGCCAGGAAGTGCTCCCATCGCCCCCCACCTGGCCCAGCAGGGGGCCGAGCCACCTCCACCAGGCAGAACAGTCTGGCAAGGGGAGAACCTAAGAGTGGAGGCCAGGTGCGGCGGGCGGCTGGCTGGATGCCTGGCTGAGGCCCCTGAGGGGAACTGAGCCAAGCAGAGCTGCCCAGAACTGGCCTCCCGGCTCTGCTGGCTTGCCCGCTCTTTCCCACCAGGAGGCCCACAGAGCCCCCACCGGCCCTGGCCGCAGCCCACCACCCACTGTGCCCATAGCCAGGCCCTCCTCCCTCCGCTTCTGGCTTTTGTCCCAGCACCTGCCCAGCCCTACCTGTCGGGAGCACCACCAGGTAGGCCCGCGCCCTCTGCTGCCTTCGCAAGCCTTCGTACTGGGCTCGCAGGACCTGGATGCTGAGCGGGGGCTCTTTCCCCGGGGCCTGAGTGCCCGAGCCCTCAGCCATGAAGCAAGACTCCAGCTGCCAGAAATGCGGCAGGGCAGGGCAGAAACAGGGCCACCCCTTCATCTGGATCCGGGAGAAAAGCAAACAGCGATGGGCGGGGCGTGGGAGGGAGAGAAGGAGCGGTGGGGGGTGGGTGGGGGAGTGAGGAGGGCAGGTGGAAAGGTGGGGGGGAGGGGAAGAGGAGGGGGAGGAAAAGGTAAGGGAGATGGAGGGGAGGGCAGGGTCAGTGGGAAGTGGGAAAGGAGTGGAGCTAAGGCGAGGGGAGAAAGACGGGTGAGGGGAGAAGGAGGTGGGAAGCCATGAGTGGGGGGGGCAGGAGAGGGGAAGCGGGGAGGAAAAGAAGGAGTCAGAGGGAAGAGGGCAGAGGGGAAAAAAAGGGGTCCGCAAGAGGAAAGGAAGGAACAGAGGAGGAAGGTGGTAGGGCAAAGGGGGCTAACGGGATGAGAGGGGAGGGAGATGGGGGTAGGTGCCTGCAGGGGGGAGGAGGGACATGGAGGGAGACAGAGGGGCATGGGGTGAGGGAGGAGGAGGGGAGAAAGAGCAAGGCTCGCACAGCTGCTCCGAGTCCTTCTGGGTTCCCAGGGAGGCCCCGTGCTCCAGGTCCTTCACTGCTGGATCCCAGTGCTCAGAATCTAATTCCCAGAGCTCCTGCGCAGTCTCCCGCGTCCCCGCTGAGCGGGAGCTGATGCTGGGCTGGGCCAGGCGCCTGCTCAGCTCACACCTCTTGGACTGAAACCTGGAATCTCATCGGCAAACCTGTTCATTTGGTTTCGATGGAAAAGGAGCACCCTCTGTAGCCTCACAAAGCTGGTGCCTCAGGGATGTGCTCGCTGCAGTCATGCCCGTGGGAACCCCAGCAGCAAAGGTGCCCCCCACCCCCAATCTCCACTCACCCAGCATACACATCCCAGGAGGAAGCCTGGCCCCAAACCTTGCCCTGGGGACAGAGACAGGGGATCCCTGTCCTCTGGCCAGCCACAGCTCTCTGACATTTGCACCAGCCTGCTCCATCTCAGCTTTCTCCAGCCAAGCAGGGAGCTGGTGTTTCTCTTACCCGCAGCGAGGCGCGCCCTCACCCCTGCTGGCCAGCCCCACCAGCTCTATATCCCCTTGGAATCCTAGCCTCTCTCTCCCCTGCGCCAGCTTGGATCCATCCTTGTGCCTTTTGGTCAGCGAAGTCCCTTTCTATCTTGTCCTAACATGAGGCTTGCAGAGAACCAAATTTCCCAACACACCTACGGAGGCCATGGAGAGGGTAGCGGCTGAATTCTAGAGCCGTTCTGGAGCCAAAATGCATGGGATCTAGTCACCAGGAGTGGGAGTGAGAGATGGATGGGAAGTCTCCACTGGGCAGTGTGTTTTCGAGGGCTGCTCTAATGGAGTGCCACAGACTGGGAACATAAAGGACAGAAATATATTGTCTTAGCATTCTGGAGGCCAGGATTCCGTGATCAAGGCATCTAGCCATCTCTCTGTGTGCCCGTCTCCGTGTCCAGATTTCCCCTTTCATGAGGACAACGGTCATGTTGGATTAAGGCCCACTCTAATGACCTCATCTTAACTAATTATATCTGCAATGACCCTATTTCCAAAATACAGTCACATTCAGAAGTCCTGGGGTTAGAACTTCCATGTATGAATTTGGGGGGGGGGTACACAATTTAACCCATATCCGGTAGATGAATGATAATTCCGGTCACAGAGCTGGGCCCAGGAGAGGAGCAGACTGGGGTGTGGGAGAGGAGAAGGGGTGTGTTTCAGGTGTTGTGTTAGGGATGCCTGTGGTTTTGGGTCCTCAGGAGGGGATCAGCAGCTCGGTGGAGACGTGCAAGTGTTGTCTTTGGTGAAAATGATACAGTTGGCGCTCAGAAAAGTTGACTCGTGCTCTGAATATTCACGTACAGGTTTTTCTTTGAGTACTTGTCTGCAGTTCTTCTGGTGACTCTTCCCAGGAGCAGAATCGCTGAGTCATACAGTTGTTGCCTGTTGTTTTCATTGCAAAACTCCCTTGGCTGTAAGTATATTGCATTCTGAGGATATTAAAAAAATGTTTGCATTGTTTGCTTTGGTTTTTCTGTTGATACGCCAAGAACTCCGCCCTAGAGCAGGCTGGCCTTTGCAAGTTGGTGTGTTTGGTGTTTTGGAAAGGGGATCACCATTTATAATTCCTCATCATGCCGTGACAAAATAACTCCCTGTCTAAACCAGGAACTGTCTGACCTTCTTTTCCTAGCACTATTATGTCAAATGAATGTAAAGTCCAGGATAAAAATGTGCAAAAGTTTTCCCAAATTTGTTTTGCGGGGGCCTACCGGAATCGTTACCTCTGCAATTAGAACTTTATGTGATGACTGTGCAATCTTACTAAGTGAGGTGAAGAGGTACTGTGGTGACCAGGTTCCGGAGTCTCCCACCAGAACACCTGGGTTTTCATCCTGGCTGTGCCACGTACTGGTTGTGAAATCTGTTTTCTTAATCGCCCCAGTTTCCCCATCTGTAAAATGGGCCAGTAATAGTTACCTGTAACTATTTACCATCTGTAAAATGGGGTTAATAATAGTACCTTTATGAGGGTACGAAGTCCTTAGAACAGTGTCTGGTGTGAGGTCAGTGCTATAAGAACTTGTTGGAGACAAACTGACAGGTTGGTCCTGGTAATTACATACCTTAAATTACAATAATAAGTTAATAGTGCAAGTTCTTCTCAAGAAGGATCTTATTGATTTTAGTTTTGACAATGCCTATCACTCTCTGTTAAAAAATATTTCCCACCACCCTCCAAAATAAAGCGTATAAAAGTTATTGAAGGAATCCTCTGGGACAACTACTTAATACTTAATTTCAAATACCTAAAAAGAGATATTTCAAAATTTAAAAGGAATTTTACTAATGATAAACACAATGTATTAGAAGAATAACAGCCTCCATCTTTTGGCTTTGAACTTAAGATTCAATTCATTCAATATGTATTTCATTCAACAAGTACTTACTCAGCTACTACGATGTTCCAGACTCAGTAATCGATCAGTGCAGAATAGCAAATTAAATAGACATTATCCTCATGAAACGTCCAATGCAGTTGTGGGGAAAGAACTGTTATCATTTATGGTAAGAACGAGGTGAAGAGAATACAATAAGTAATTTAAATTAAATTAAATATATGGTAAGTTAAATTAAATTAAATATAAATTAAATATTTATATACATAAATATAAATTAAATTAAATATATGGTAAATTAAATTAAATTAAATATATAGTAAATTAAATTAAATTAAATATATTTAATAAATTAAATTAAATTAATTAAATATATGGCATTTGGGGGAGTTCCAAACTTTTAGAATGTATGTAAGAAATGTTACCTATGATTGTTATTCCAATAATGATTATCATTTATCCAGTTTATTCACCGTTAAAAAAAAAAAAATCCATCATCTTAAAGTTGCCTGCCCTCTAGTGAGGACCTTAAGTCATAGCCACGCAAACAACTGGGAAAGGTTGAGGGGTTTTGGTGTTTCTACTGCTATTTAATGAGCTCTGGCTGGTTCAGCTATCATGCCCCATAAGCCTATAAATTTCTCCAGAGGGCTTCTTTACACATGCTCAGTGCCAAGTGACCTCACCACCCTCCCTGGGCCCATCTGTGACTAGTCAGTGGCCTATGAAGTGGCCTGGGGTAGAAGTTCTACTGAATAGGCCTAACCCTTCCGGAGGTGACAGGCCCAACTAATCAGGCTTCACATAGAGCAAGACAGAGCCACTGAATCCACAGTCAAAGGAATCGGATGGGAAGTATTTGAACCCCATTGGTGGGAGACCATCGGGACAAAGACTGCCTGCTACTGACCAGGCAGGGGTGCCTCTCATTCCCAAAATATTTCAGCAGCAGCTCCAAGCAAGTCCAAGTGGGTTTGTGACTATTGCCTTGTTCTTACTTTCCCCGAATATCTTTACCTTAACCCTGAGTTAATCCACGTGGTTCCAGTGTCAAAGAGCCTTACCAAAGATGCTTTGGATATGCTGTCCCATTTCAGCCCTATCAGCTTCCTGGGAAACAGGTATTATTACCCCCATTACAGGGGCTCAGAGAGGTTGTGTAACCTACGCAGGGTGCCACAGCTAATAACTGGAAGGACAGAATTTGCACCCACTTCATTCTGCTTTCAGAGCTGGAGTTCCTTCCCATAAAGTATATCCCATGTGGGGTACCTGGGTGGCTCAGTGGGTTAAAGCTTCTGCCTTTGGCTCAGGTCATGATCCCAGGGTCCAGGGATCGAGCCCCACATGGGGCTCTCCACTCAGCAGGGGGCCTGCTTCCCTTCCTCTCTCTCTGCCTGGTGCTCTGCCTACTTGTGATCTCTGGCTGTCAAATAAATAAATAAAATCTTTTTAAAAAAAAAAAAAAAGTATATCCCATAATACTGAAACCTGAGTCTAACGGGGGTCTGAGATTAGATACTCCTCCACTATTTATTATTAGCAAAACGCTCTTTTAAAAAACCTAGTTTAAAAAACTTTAATCAGTTTCTCAGATAATGTTCTATATGAGCTTTAAAAATAAGATAACATCCAGGGGAGCACCTGGTAGAAAACTGTTACTTGATCTCAGGGCTGTGAGTTCCAGCCCCATGTTGGGCGTGGAGCATCCTTAAAATAAAAAATTGAAATAATAATAATAGTAAGTTAACATTCAGGAACAATTTGATTCCTCGTTCCAAAATCTGTAAATTTTCCTTTAATCAACTCATCCTGAACCTGATCCTTGACTGAAAAGTCTTCCCTAGCCTTTTGGGCCCACATTCTTGGGTTTTCTGTTATATAGTGTGATGGCTGCAGTCCGAAGGTGTTTAAGCTAATCTGGGGATGCTCGATCCTGACTGCACAGCAAGAATCACTTGAGTAACTTCTTACAGTTTCTGACGCCAGAGCTTCATCCCATACCCACTGGATCCAAATCACAGAAGGAAGGGGCGAGGCTTCGCTACTGTGTTACTTGCCGGTGTGCCACCAAAGCCAAGAACCACCGAGCTATTTCCATAGTGACTTATCAAGCTACCTAGCTTTGGAGAAACCTTTTCCTATTCACAGTCCTGGTAGGTCTG